CATTATGGTGCACCTAAACCTAATTTAAACATATGCAATGTTAACGTTAAATGTCATTTTACAGTAGCAATTCCAAAATATCAACTGATGCGTCATTTCGTTATACGATCCATGAATATGCTATAATTATTGTCATTATTTCTGCGTAGAATGCAGTAGCATAAAATAAGACCATGATAATTTAGTTTGCTGAAATATATTTCTCTTTTACTTTATATAGTTTGAAATTTCACGAAAAAGTTACTCACCTTACTCAGTGTTTCGAATGTAAGTTCCCATATACCATAGAAAGTCAGTACTGGCTTACGATTTCCTTGCATAACAAAAAGTAGCACTTTCTGTATTGATAACGGTAAATTGTACCATTCTAGAGCATATCTGAAAAAACGGAGAAAAACTGAGTATTGAGATTAGAAGACAAAATAAAAACGGAATAAAAAGTGATAATTTATATAATTATAATTTCTACAGCATACATATTCCAAATATTTTATTTATAAATAATACTTCTTGATTTAAAAATTTACTTCTTGGTGTAAATTTGAGAAAATCTTGAAATATCTTTCAAAATAATTCATCATTGTAAAAATATTTTGCTGATAAAACTTATTGAGTTTCGAGGAAAGTACTCTATTGCTGGTCAGGATATTGTCACTGGTGGACGTATCTCCAATTTGATTTCTTAAATGAAACTATATGCGCTATATTGTTTATTTGCTGAAAAGACAAGATTTAATTCGCACTCCAATTGTACTTTTATACACTTTACATTTTTACATACTTCAATCTCTAATATGAAATAGGTGCCTTTGGTATTCTACTGCCACGACGAAGAAAAGTAGAATATAAAGAAACTGTAAGACCCAAAAATAAGGCATATATATATTCAAAATTTATTCAAAAAGAAATTGCTGAAAATCCATTTCTTCTGTAACAATAAATGCTTCTCATCGAAGACGTTAGAAATTAATCAGGTATGTGTCGTTCTAAATTATTTTGATCAAGGATCAGTTACAGATCGGCAAGAATACAAAAGCGCGGCAGTTTTTAACCAATATTGCAGCCAGCAACATTTTTCAACATCAACAAGTTTCGGAGTGAAAGTCTTGTCTTATTCGAACAAAAATAAAGTTCCATAAAAGTGTTGAGTACAATTTTTAATGATATCCTTACAATATAACAACGTTCAAAAACTACTAGTGTATTCCAAATTTTTTTATATAAGGCAATGATTCCATTTTCGAGTATTTTCTGGTTATCAATAGCGTTATTGTCGTAAACTAAACTTTTAAATTATCTTCATAAATAAAAAATTTGCTTAAAATTTGACGGTTATTCTGTCATAGTCAATTTTTTATGTAAATAAAAAATGTTCATTTCTCGGAGAAAATTTTTCGGATATCTATTAATACGATCTTTCTTACTTATCGATAGTGACTATAAAATACCAGAGTTTGGCCAACTGTTTCTTAGATATTTTTTACAAAATTATTATTTATATTATATTAACGATATAGTGTATAATAGTATTATTGTATGGTACTAAATTATCAACATATTAACAGTAATGATCTGAAATAAATATAAAAATTACTACTTTAAGCTATAGTGAGTGAAAGAACCATTAGTACATATGCATTTTTTATTTTATTTATAAACGATATTATTCTCTCATCAGAGTCAATACATTTAGCTCTGAAGGAAAATGTCTTCTCAGAAGAAAGTGCCTAACACTGAATTGAATTCTGAGAACTTTTGATCAACGAAAGAACAAGATGATGGATATGATCAAGGATATCTATCGATATTATTTGATAAAACAATGAATATTTATTAGAAATTACGAGTTAAATATTTATTAAAACAGTGAATTGAATATTTTTCCGGATATTACAAGGAGACATGTGGAATTAATGCTGAGCTAATTACAAGCAATTGATTAATAGAGAAGCTATAGACACAAAATGTTAGTGTATTTCTTTCATGCAATAAATAAAGTAATGACATATTTTAAATTCTGTCAATATTCTTTGCTATGAAATTTCAGTACTGTTTTCATACACTCTTTATACAAGGTACGGCAGGATGGAGTCCCACATTTCCAAGGTGAATTACGAAAAAAATGGTACAAAATACGAAAAAAAAAGTTTTATTTTTTCAGAACGTATATAATGTGTTTTTTTTTTGGGGGGCTAGGTTTTAAAAATAATATCGTCTAAATAATGGTCTTGATGGACGGTGCACATATGCAGTCGTTCCTGGAAATTTTCCATTACTCGCTTCAGCATATCTTGAGGAGAATTCTGGCGGTTTCGTCTTTAATGGCCTCTTTGAGATCTTCTAAGATTCGAGGACAATACATATAAATCTCAGCCTTGAGATACTCCCACAGGAAAAAGTCGCAGGGGTCTAGATCTGGGGAGATCAGGCGACCGGGAAACATCTCTTGCAAAGTAGCTCGAGAACGACGGGCTGTGACTCCATCCTGTTGGAACCGGAAGTTATTTGGATATTGTTCCTCTTCATATTCTTCCATTTTGGGGCACAAATAATTCTTCAACATGTTACAATATTGATCTGATGTCACGGTAATAGTGTTGCCACCTTCTTCAAAAAAATAAGGCCCCACGATGCCTATAGAGGCCATTGCACACAAAACGGTATTTTTCTGTCTCTGAAGAGGTCGTTGGTGGAGTTGGCGCGGGCACTAACTCTCAAGAGCTCAGTATCGAAAACACATTTTATTAACCGCGCCACAAAGATGGAAATGTGTTTCGTCGCTACTGCACACAATACCGCTGGGAGGCACAGTTGTAAGGATGTCGTTGCAACAATTTCTACGTCTTCCCCAGTCTTTCCCCACTCAATTCTTGAGCAATCATAATATTACATGGGATACTTGATTAAATTAAAACAGTAATAGTCACTTTAATATGTAAAGATACTTAGAAGAAAAAAGATATACCGATACTTTTATTTACCCGTACGTATATTAAAACTATTTCATTTCGAACTTCTGTTTTAAAATCTCAGATGAAAGTAATTGCAAAATTGCAGAAAAAAATTTCGTCGGATGACCGACGTTTGTTTAGTCTCCCGAGTTATCGAGGCGATTCGGCGTGTTATTTGATACGGATTGTTCTACAGCAAGGGAATGAACACAGAGAGAATGAATCGATTGTGAGATATGGAATTTCGATCGGTCTCTGTTCTGAAGCAATCGACTTCAAGTAGTTTTTCAAACGGATCAGATCAAAGGGCGAATAAGAATGAACTTCGATACAGTCAATGAACACCAACTTCGATATTATTTCTCCAAACGACC